AAGGATTTGGTTGGCTGTTTTGCTATATGTTTGTTTATTTCTGTTTTGGCCTATGTGTTTTGGCATATGTTGTAGTTCATGCATTCATTTAATCTTGAATTTCATTTAAAACAGAGGCTTACACTATCAAACATTACATTCTACAATTACTTGAGAATGATAACAGCTACAAGGATTACAATAACAAAAAAAATCACTCCATTGTTAAATCTTCTTTCAAATTTCTCCATCCTTGAATGCATATCTTTCAGCATGGAAGTGACTTCAGGAATTGGTTCATTTGCTAAATTTGCTGCAGTTGATACAACTTCATCATCATCTTCATCATAATCTTAATTTTCATGTGCACACGGCTTCACCCAATTCACTGTCGTAGGTTTAAACCAAGCAAAAAAGCTACATTTGTTGTTTGGACAATTGCAAAATAGCTTTCCAACCGTTCTTTTTGTAGGACCAACTACCCTGATTTGTGCATACACATTGCAGTAACACTTTAGATATCGGTATCGTAAGTCCAAGTTGTCAATCTTCTCCATCTTCGATTTTTGGGACATTTTCAACTTACAAATTTGAAATCCAAGCTTTCAATCTTTACTTGTCTTTGAATCTGGGAAAAAAAAAGGTAAACATACAAGAAGAATTGAAGGCTGGAAAGCTTTGATTTTCAAAGCTGAAAAAAAAGTTGTGAAAAAAAAAAGCTGTGGAAAAAAAAATTGCATATCTTTCTGTGTGATTTTTGCTCCCAGGTGCTCGAATTTAGGGGGAAGAAGAACAAATGAGAGGCGCGCTATTTAAAGAGGCCTACTAAGGGTAAAAATGTCTTTTAGACACAATAACGGTCAAAAACTTTAAGTACACTTGCTCATTTAGCGCGTTTCATACACACGCGTTAACTCAAACGGTCGGGGGGAATTGGCGCAAACGGAATTAAAACCTAAGGGGATATGGTGCAGTTTTTAAAACATAGGGGGAAAACGCGCACATTTATGAAAACACGGGGGGTTTGGTGCAATTATCCCGTTATTTTGGTTAACCTAGTTAATTTTAGAAAATATGATATGATTAGTTGTTAATTGAATTTTAAGGATGTATTAAAATAACGTAAAATGATTAAAATTGATTTGATGTAAAAGTAAATGATAAATGATTGAAAATAATAGGTAGTTTGTACCAAAAAAAAAAAATAATAGGTAGTTAAAATTACGTGAGTAGAAGAATAATGAATTAAGTTGAAGTAATATTTAAGGATGACTGAATTATTTAATTATAAGAATAATATTAAAAATAATTGACTTGATTTAAAATTGAGTATGAAATAAATGTGAGTAATTAAATTGTAAACAATCAAGCCCTAATTATTTAGAGGGTAAAACCCTTTTTTTCTATTATTATTATTATTATTATTATTATTATTATTATTATTATTATTATATGAAATCAAAATGATTATAAGAAATTGGAAGGGAGCCGAGATACTATCTGGGCCCCCACTCCTTTAGCAATGGAAAAACCATATATTATTATTATATGGAAAAACTTATTTCCTCCCCCACAAAAGTGAATTATACAAAAAGTGATAATTAAAAAAAAGCACGAAAAAAAAAAACTTAGCGTGAAATGAATTCGACCAAACCGGCGAGAACAAAGATCGATCAATTCGGGTAAAAAAAAAACCACTAAAATCCTCTCACGTGAAAATGGGGGGAGGCCCTCCTTACCCGCCGAAACTGGCGGCCGCCGCGCCGCCGCACCCGGAGGATGACGTCTCCGGAGAGCCCTTCATCCGTCTTGGCGCCGGAGGAGTGGGCGTCGGGATAGGCGGCGGCGGGCTCCGGAAGAAGGCGGTGGGTGTTAGGGCTTGGCTGCAGCTGGACTCGACTGGCCAGGCGCAGGTCGTGGAGGTCGGGAAACACGCAATCATGAGGCGGACGGGGCTCCCGGCCCGAGATCTCCGCATACTCGACCCGCTACTGTCTTATCCGTCCACCGTGCTCGGCCGCGAGCGGGCCATCGTTATCAATCTGGAGCACATAAAGGCGATTATCACGGCGCAGGAGGTTCTCTTGCTCAATTCTAGAGATCCTTCGGTGATTCCGTTTGTTGATGAGCTTCAGAGGAGAATCCTGCTCCACCACCAGGCTGTCAAGTCTCAGGTTCCTTTTTCCCTTCTCGTCTCTGTAGGAATTTGTTGGTGATCTTTGATGATAGATAGTTAGGTAATTGTGATTTGAACTTTAATTTGTTTGTTGATCAGTTTATTTGGGATTCTGTTTTTTGTTGCGTTGAAGATGTCTTTAGCTTACCACTCTGTACATTCAGTTTGTCAGTTTTTGCTCGTTTCCCTGAACTTGTAGCTTGTATGGATCTTGTGTATGTAATTGGGCTAAAACCTCATGGGTTGTTTAGGAAACTGGAGATGTAGAAAATGCCGACTGGAAAAACTTATATGATTTAGAAGGTCCTCAATCAGTTCGAACAAGCCCCCCAAATTATTCGAGAAATTTTACCGGCAAGGAAGATGGAGGGAAAGCAGAAGGGAGAGAACAATCTCCCGAGAATCGAGATGGCCCCAAGTTGCTGCCATTTGAGTTTGTTGCGTTAGAGGCCTGTCTCGAGGCTGCATGCAGTTGCTTGGATAATGAAGTATAGAATGCTTTTTCTAGTATTTTGGTGCTTAAAATTTTACTTTGTAGTCATTTTTTAGTTTTGATAATTCTATTTGATTTTTTATTTCTGCTCTGGTCTCAAGCTAGGCAAGGACATTGGAACAAGAAGCTCATCCAGCGTTGGATAAGTTGACTTCAAAGATCAGTACACTCAATCTGGAACGCGTGAGGCAAATTAAGAGTCGTCTGGTTGCTATTACTGGCCGTGTTCAAAAGGTATGGATGAAACAATTGTGTGTTAATTCATTTCGTTAATGGCTTTATGTATAATTGTTTAACCTCGAATATGAAATTTCATGTCAATCTCTTGTAGAGGTATTTGAACAACGAATTGTTGATTTTAAGTGAATGTGTGTTTGTTTTCGTTGATGGATTATTGTCAGTTATTTGGAAAGTGACCTTTAGCTTAGCAATTTTGCATTATTCCTATTCTTCCACTGTTCGAAGGTGAAACGTTTAGATTCATCAATAAAAAGCAAGGTTGACTGTCAAAGATTCTACGAAGATGTCAATTGCTAAATATTTTTCTGTTCGACTAGTTATGTTCCGACAATGTTGTATCAGGTGAGGGATGAGCTGGAGCACTTGCTTGATGACGATGATGACATGGCGGAAATGTATTTGACTGACAAACTGCAAGAACAGCTAGAGAACTCCTCTGTTTCTTCCCTGGATGAGCCAGAGCAAGATGTGTTGGACAATGCAAACATTGATGACAGGCACATGAAAACTTTAATTAATATCTATTAGCTACTTGCAAATAGAACTCTTAATTATCTTATCATACTTCAAATTGATTTATTTATTTATTTATTTTTTAAAAGAATACTCTTACTTACAATTGCTTTTGCACTGCAAATTTAGGACCCCTGCTGAAATATTGATGGAAGGCAATGAGGGTTTAGATGTTCGGGAACAGTTGTTCGGTGGCCCTAATGTCCTGAGCAGAGGCAGTCATGGGACCCATACCAGTACGCACAGTGCCGTAAGCAAGCACCTTGATGTAGAGGAGCTCGAGATGCTTTTGGAAGCTTATTTTGTTCAGATTGATGGTACACTCAACAAGCTGTCCACTGTATGCAATCTCCCTCTATTTGCTTGCTAATAAAAATCTTGATGTTTCAATGAATTAATATTGCATGCTCAACCCAAAATTGTTTGTTGTGAGATTTTACATCTGTTGATGATCTTTGTTTTCCCCCTTTTTTCATTATTTTTGGGATGTTTAGGCCTTTGCGCTGCCCTATCAGACATATTGGTCTATATGAGAGAGTGCGGTTCATGAATATATCTATTTTTTAGTTCTTTTATGAGAGAGTGATGTTCATGAATATATCTGCTTTTACTTCTTTTTATTTTTTTTCCTGCACAGATTAGTAAAACATCAACCATTTTTTTTTTCGGCAAAGCAAAAAATAGGAGAATTTTCTTAGTAATGGAAAATTATCGAGCGCATAGATTAGAAGGCACTTTAGATTTTGAAGTGCTCTAAATTCTTCAAGTCCTGAGAGTTTATAATTATCATATTTTCGATGATTATAAATGTATATATATATGTATATATACATATCAGCTGAAATTGACATCTATTCTTTTGATGAAAAGCTTAGGGAGTACGTGGATGACACTGAGGACTATATCAACATAATGCTGGACGATAAGCAAAACCATCTCCTGCAAATGGGGGTCATGCTGACGACAGCAACTCTAGTGGTGAGCGCTTTTGTGGTGGTGGCCGGGATTTTCGGCATGAATATCCAAATCGAGCTCTTTCAGGACGAGCTGAATGGGATGACGAGGTTCCTGTGGACTGTGGGAGGCAGCACGGCCGGCACTCTTTTTCTGTACGTTATCGCCATTGCTTGGTGCAAGCACAGAAGGTTGCTCGAGTGAGTGCCCGAGCCCTACACCACAGCGCGGTGAATTCTACTGTGTGTACTCGATGATTTCTTTCTCCAGGTAAAACTGGCAATTTGCTGTGCAAACAAATTCAAAACCGTACTTTGCCTTGTGATATGTATGTATAAGTTTGCTGTCGATATTATTATGCGAGAATTTCCTACCAAACGAGTTGTATTATAATTTATAATCAGCAAAAACAAATCTCCGAACAAACTAGCACCGGGATAGATAGGTTGGTCGACTCAAAATCTAACAGGTTGATCATCTCGAACAAACTAACTCGAACAGGACCCTTCTTTATGCATTTCATCAGGTGGGTCGAGTTAGGGAGAATGCCATAGTGGCCTGTACTGTTTATTAATAGCAGAATGACCCCAGAGGTTTTCGTTTATATCATATTGATGGGCACAGTGTGTTGATTGTATGGCATTGGGTATAGATGTAAGTTGAGTTGACTTGACTATTGACCTTTTCGAGTAAGTATTTTTTTTTTTTCTTTGCACCTCAAGTTCGAACTCAAATGAGACGAGCCATATAAAATGTTGCTATGCTCAAAATGATTGTAAAGAAATCGTAACTGAGTTCGACTCTATGGTCGAGCTTGCCTTGAAATTGACTTGATATTCATTAATAGTTCGATCTTTTGGATTTGAGTTTATTGAAACTGGGTTTGACCAGCTTAGACTCAATCTTCGACTCGAGTTCTCGTAAGTTGCTGGGATAGTGGCAACTCTAGATGATTTTCATTTCAACGTATATTAACTCTTAACTTTTATTTTCAATTATACCAACATTATTTGAAAACTAACCCTTAAGCCCTTTTAAACACGATGCACATTGACCAGAACTCAAAAACTCCTATTTCCTAAACATAGCTTTGAAAATTCTATCTCCCATTTCCAAAACACTGGATTCTGACCCTCGACGAGAATGAAACCCCCCTCATCTTGAACAAGCACCACAAATTTGTCTGCAACAATCTCAAGACCATCACGCTAGATTTAGATTCCCAATCTAAGGAAGGGCCTGGCCCGAATTCGAGCAGCATTGGTCGAGTGCACCACCAACATCAAGTGCGAGAAGGTGATTTCTTTTCTCATCCCCCAACCACCAAACGGTGGATTTGTCGACCTCTGCCGCCATCTCTTATCTTATCCCCGACCACAAAGTGGTTGATCTGTCCACCTCCACCGCTCGTTGGCGTGAATCATTTCTTATTGGTCTTTTTTGCTATGATTGGAGATCTTTATAAACGAAGATTCCTTAAAGGCAACATTTTTGGTCGTCGTTTCCACCTTTTCCATCCATCGACAATGTGATTTATTCAGTGTGGCGAACTCTTGTCTGTCGGTCGGGATCGTGTGGTTTCCAGCAACGGCTAATCGATTGATCTGGAAAGTGTCTTAGAGGTTTTTTAATCATGAGATGATGGAAGTGGTGGTTGAGTCGCCTTCAGTGATCTTCTTTTTTGTGGATTATTTGCATCTAATTGAGATTCATTCTTATTTATTTGATATTGTATTCGTTCAATCTTCGTCTCGCCTTATAGGTTTTTCTTTTTGTGTTTTTGGTTTCGACAATTAGTTTTTCTACAATTGAATTTCTTCTACAAAATTTGTTTTTTCAAGCGAAGAGGTGTACAAATTGTTTGGATGGGAATACAAGAAGCTCGAGAGGGCCCCACATGCTTGTTCGATCAAGCCATCGTCTTCACAAACTAGAAGGGTGACCGTGGATGTCGCCCTTACCTACGATGCTGTTGCCCGTTTGTTTTGTGGTCCGAAGGCGAAGACGAACATAATTTATGTTTATTGATGGTTTGATTATAGTGTAGTAAATTTTTTTATTTCTTTTTGGTTTATTGTAGCTTATATTCTGTATGGTAATGATGTCCGTCTTTTTAGAATTTTTTTCGGATGTTTAATTTATTAATGTTATGGAAGATTCAATTGTTTAATTGATCTTTATTAATAGTTTGTATTTGATATATTAATAATATAAAAAAAATGTCACACACTGGAGCGGATAACATAAACCTATAACTAGTACCGTTGCCCGTGCAAAATGCACGGGAGCTACAAAAAAAAAAAAAAATTATTAAAAGAATATTTGCAGTTCATGCAAATGCATAACGGTTAAATATTAACGAACATTTTCTTATATACAACGTTCTTCGTCTTTGTGGTACTTTTATCATCACAAATTAATATTTTCAATCATTTTCCATTTGTAACTCGTGGAACAGCGACATAAAGTTGGTCATGGGTAAGTACAGATATCTTCAGGTATAACATTCATATAAATTACTCCTCAGTAACTAAAATATATATTTTATTTTTGATATGCATAAGATATAATTACCGATTCATGCAATAAATACAAAGTTCTTCAGGTATAACATTCATATAAATTAATCCTCAATAACTAAAATATATATTTTATGTTTTATATGCATATGATATAATTACCGATTAATAATGAGTCCTTACAAAAAGAGTTTTTAGCCAAATCAGTAAAACTTTAGGAGTTATACATAAAATTCATGAAATTTTCATGTTGAAGTTCACCACAATATTGCCATAGTAGTTTTATATATGTTGTTATTTGGTGCTACAATTATAAAGTGCGGTTAGCAATGACTCCAAAACGTTTGAATAAAACTACATGAATCATTTTGATTGAGGGATGAATTCTATATCCATGTAAAATCTTACCAACACAAATATTAGGAAATAAAATCAAACAAAATATGTATAATAACTATTTATAAACAAAAAAAAAATGTCTTAAAAGAATCCCCTCGCAGTCTCGGTATTTCGATTCGGAGTCGTGGAGTATCAACCCCCAGAAAACGGTATTTTAATCTTGAAAGCAGTCATTTCGTTTATCGCATCAAATGTACTTTAATATTCCATCATGTTTTTTTATACCTTATTCACCGTGTGTAAGCAATATGATGGTAAAATAATGAATATCTTACTAAATAAAAAATACTGACACGAAAGGTAACGATTCAAGCCATTACCAATGTAACTTCCAAACATGTGTATTTTTAATAACTTCACTTTTGTTGTTTTACTGTATTTTTAATTAAGTTCCATATGTTAGACGTGTTACTACGCTGTGTTAATATTTTCTATAAAAATTTAAAATCGTATATTATTTTAGACTTTGTTAATATTTTTTTATAAAAATAAAAATGGTATATTATTTTAGACTTTGTGTAGTGTTGTTAAATATTTTAATTTATAAAGTATAAATTATGAAAATTAGATAAATAATTTAAACTAAAAGCTTAAATAAAAAATCTAATAAAATTTTATAAAAATACTTGTCAAGTAAAAACGTTCCTCACTTTTAGTTATTTGTATTAAAAAAATCGTACACAACTGATAAACACGTGTCAAATTATTAAATAATGGGTGTTGGGTAGTTATGATAAACTAAATAAATACGTCTCGTAGTTTTAACTTTTGTATTAAAAAAATGAGTCACTACTGATGAACACGTGTCAGTCATTAAATAATGGGGGTTGGTAGTTATCGGTAAACTAAATATATATTATATGAGCAATGTGTGTTGGTAGTTATCAATAAACTAAATGTATATTTTTCAGGTAGTTAATATTAATATGGCTAGTTATCGATAAACTATATATATATATATTATTTGAGGTAGTTAATATTAATATAAATATGAACACGTGTCAAAAGAATTTAAAGGCTTTCCAAAAATAGCAATATATTGTAGGACCCACATAAAGCTTTCTAAAAATGGCAAGTGTGTTGCCTAATTATATAATAGATAGATGAACTACAAATAAACTAAACTTAAATTTAATATGTTTAAAAAAGACAAAAATCTTTAGCATGCATGGGATACATTAAAACATTGATTAACAACTCGTGATCCAAAGAAAGACCGATAAATTGGGTTTATATATATATATATATGTATATGTATATATATATATGTATATGTATATATATATATGTATATGTATATATATATGCTTATTCGGCGCTCTTGAAAATTGGTACACTAATTTGCCAAAATCAGGGAAGAAAAAAAAAATGTTCATTTGTTAAATTATTGTACTAATTTTGTTAAGCGCCAAATTAATGTATCATTTTCTTCAGAAAAAAAAAAAATATAGT